AAATAGGGAAAATCTAAACTTACACATAAGCTTTATTATTATTATTATTATTATTATTATTATTATTTTGGATTAAGGTCAATAATGTCATAATACAATAAATATAAGATAACCACAAAAATGTAAGACTTCATAAAGAGTTCGAATTAATATTTTTTTAAGATTTTAATACCTAATATATATATATATATATATATTTAGAGAGAGAGAGGAAGACGAGTAATGAATTTGAAACCCTATATCTTTGTTGTAAATAGGTCTTAAGTTTTAAGAATTAGTGACTAGTTAAATAAATAAATGGAAGGATCTAAAATTTTTGAGAAGCAAGTTGATGGTAGAGAATTGAAGAATTTTTTAGAATAACAAGGTGCAAATGACAATCCTAAATCTTAGGAACCCCTCATTGACACATAGATGAGGAGAATTATCATTACAAGGTTAAACCCAAAATATGATGGCCTAGTTACGGCAATAAAAGGTTGGTATAAGAAACCAATTTTAGCCAAGTTAAAAAGTATCCTAGCTAATCAAAAAAGCTTTAAATGCACAAATATCCAAAGTTTCTTTGAAAGATGATAAAAAGGCTCTCTTTTATAGAAAGAGAGATCAATGAGAGGATTCCAGCTCAAAGAAGGAAGGAAATGATAGAAGGCGGCAAAATGATTGGCATAGAGGATGTCACAACAAAAGCTCACATCAAGGGGGAGTTTGTGAAGATTAAGAAAGGCTCGAAGAGTGGAAAAATCATCAAAAGAAAGGTCACTACTATAATTGCGGGAAGGTCAACTACTTTGCTCGAGACTAGTGGAATAAAAGGGCTAAAGGAAATGTTGTCACCTCCAACAATAAGAATCATAGCAAGGAAGAATAGGATTTTCAGGCTTCAAGTACCATTGAAAAGGAAATGGAGATAGAAGACTTGTCTAAAGAAGAAATAGATGTATTTTGCATCACGGATACCAAATGTTTCGGGGATAAAGAGAATGTTAAGAGTTTAATTAAGTAAAATTACAAGGACGAAGACAACAAAGATGGAGAGCAAGACCAATCACCACATTTGTGAAGACTTATGAGGATGTGTAACATCCTAAATTTTAGATAAAAAAAATTATGAAATTTAAGTTTTTTTTAAAACGATAATAATAATAGGAATTTATATTATTTGAGGTTATTTTAATAATATAGGTAGGCATTTAATTATGAATTTAAAAACTTAATTTTAAAATTATATAAGAAATATTTTGTTAAGATATAATTTTAAGATTTAAAAAAAAATTATGTGTGTGTGAGAGTTTAAAAAAAAAAGAAAAGAAAGTAAAAAAAAAGGGGGGAGGGGGTTTAGTCTCACATCAGTTAGATGTGGGAATGAAAGGCACCTCCTCATGTATAAAAAGAGGAGGTGCATTGTGGAGGAAGCATAAGGAATTATTTATTGCAATTTGTGAAAATTACAACTAAGGGCCCAAGATGTAATTTGTGAAAATTGCAAGTAATGGCCCAAAAGTTTGAATAATTAAATTCAAACCTATATTTTTTTAATATAATTTTGGGACCCACAATCTCATTTTTATATTATTTTTCTCTCTTCCTCTCACGTTGCTCGGCGTCTTCTTGCAAGGGGGGATTATTTTCTTTTTCTTCAGATATGTTCTAACTTTCCTGTTTAGATTAGCATTTAAAAATTTATTTAATTACAAAATTAATTTTATAGTTATTTTTTAAATAATATTAGCTTTTTAGTGATATGATTATTTTGTAGGATAGAGTAAATATTCTGATTAGGATTTTTTTTATAGGATAGTTAATCTGATGATATGATGGATTAAAAATATAGGTTAAAACTCTTAGGGATATAATAAATATTATAGAATATTTTCTTGAGGTTAAAACTCATGTTTAAGAATTTTTGAGTTAAAATCTAGATCTATATGGTTGAATTTATGTGAAATCTGAGATGTAGGGATAAACCTCTGATTATTAAATATTTATTTAAGTATGAATAGGTATTTTTGAGGTTATAGAAAGATGATTTGAGGTTTCAGGATAATTTTAAAATTTTTAATTTATTTTTGGACGAATTTTTAGAATATAGAAGGATAAAATTGTGATACTAGAAGTGATTTGAGGATAAAAAAAATAGTTTATTAGGGTACGAAAATTTTAGAAAAAGAATTTGGGAAGTTAAATGAGGCATAAATCTTAAATTAGTATTAATATGGATTATAGATCTAAGACTTTCTAATTCTTTAAATTAGAGTTATTTATTTTAATGTAAAATTAATATATAGTATTGTGAAATAATTATGTAGATTATATTGACAAAGATAGTGGTGAAAAAGAAGTTGTGAAGGGAAACTTGTTATTCAAGACACAAGGTAACCATTATTAATGTGTTGTGATGAGTGTGTTTGTGAATGGTTATGTGTTGACTTGTTGTTTGGAAAAACTATGAATTATTGAAAATAAATACTGTTATATACTTGTTTGAAATTATTGCCAAATGGGTCAAAAATTTATTTTTATTTATCATGATGAAATATTACTGTTCGGATATATTCCTGTTTGAATATTTGAATGATGCATGACTTGTCAGGGTATTTTAATGTATGGTGTTAATGGGAATTTTTGTTCGGTTAATTATTACCACGTGGTAAGCCCTTATTGGACCCAATGAGTGGCGTGTCACTTGGTTCAACTCACCTTTGTCCGGGTGATTTGGCGTCCGAGCATGGCGAAAGGAGGATATAAGGTGTAGTCATGCAAATTAAATACTTGTTCGGTTTGTTTGAAAATATTGTTCGGTTAAATGTTTTGTGTGCCCACTTAGCAATCGCATGATTAGTTACAATCGCATGCATCATTACATATTAATTTTTGGTTACTGGGACTTTTAAGTCTCATTCCCCGTGGTTAATATTTTTACAGGAGCGAGTTCGGCCGAGAAAGCACCAGAGGTGTAACTATGGTGTATGAAACACCATCTTTTACGTTGCCTCTTATTTTGGATTATACAATGTATCTTGTGCCAACTTAGGACATATCTTCTTTGTGAAGCATGTAAACTCTAATCCTTTTTATTAAAAGTATTTATTTGACCAAGAGGATTATGTTTGTCTCTCTTGATTCATGACCTAATTTAAATATCATGCCATGAGGATCCTGACTATCCTTCATGGTTCTAATTGCTTTTTTGAGATATTTTAAGACCTGTGGTATTTTGTCTTGGATGTATCATGGTAAGAAAATTTTCTACTATGATAATGGTTTTAATAATTTGCGAAAAATCGGTTTGTATTTTTGAGGGTGTTACAGGATGCAGAAGCCAACTACCAACTGTTTCAAGGCATAAGATGAAGTCAGCTATGTATGAGTTTTCTCAACAAGAGAGAGTCAACAATGGCAAGTTCAAGAAGCCATTTGGAAGGCTAAAGAAATAAGGCTAATGAAAAGTTAAAAAGATTAATTAGTCGATGAGGGGGAGTGTTAAGAATATCGACTAACTAAATAAATAAAGGGAAGGATCTAGAATTTTTGGGTAGCAAGCTAATGGCAGAGAATTGAAGAATGCTCTAGAAAAGGAAATCGACCTTGAACGGCGATAGAAGTAGGATCGAGAAGGTAGAAAAAGGAATGATCTGATTGACATAAACAAATATAAATAGGTAGACAGGGTAATTGTTGAGTCATTGTGTTTGTAGCAGAGAGAAGCAAGTGAGAGAAGAGAGAAAAAAAGGCAACTAGGCAAGCGAATGAGTGTGTGTGACATGCGTGAGGGAAAGGAAAGGGACGTGAGTGTCCAGAAGAAGTAAGAAAGAGAGAGAGTAAGGGACAGATATGAAAAAAGTCAAGAGTATTTGTATATATTGTGGTTTGAGTAATTAATAAAATATATTTTTAATTTAATCCCTCTCTTCCTCCATTCTCAAATCTCAATAAAGTTAAAAATAATATTTGTCATTCTTTCAAAGATCTAACCTATTATTACATCGGCTAAGTATTAATAGACCTTAAAATAATATGAAAAATCTCATATCAAATAAAATTATACTTAATAATTAGTATAAAATAAATGAAAACAACTCATAAATTTAAACTTTAAGCTTTAAATACAAACATTTTTTAAAAAAAAACATGTAGGAAGCCTTTGATTGCTGAAATGATAGCTAGCTTACATATATATTCTCTTTTTTTTTTTTTGACCCGGTACATATATATTCTTAACTTACACGTGCGTTTCCTATAGACACTACTTTTGGTCAATGTTTCCCAAATATATTTTTATATGTTATGCCCACCACATTGGACTTTCTCTGTTAATGAACTCTAACATTGATGAGGACCACTAACAATGAACTTTTAAACGCTTTAATTTGAATAGTCGAAGCAGCAAGAAAAATAATTATCACTCTCAAGTAATATTTACAAGATGGAAAGAGAAATTTTTTTATCTTATTTATAAATTATATTATTAAATTTTTATCTTTAGATCAAAAAATTTATTTTTATTATAAATATTTTTACCCCTCATTAAATGTTAATGAAAGAAATTACATTGTATAAATTTTTATTATAAGTTTCTTTTTTTTACCTTCATTAAATGTTAATGAGAGAAATTAATTGTTAAAGCATATATATTTAATAAAATCATAATTAAAAATTTATTAAATTTTTAGATATAGTTAACAAGTTTTAATTTTAAAAAAACATATTAAAAGTGACACATAGGAGGACATAACTTCAATTGTTGGAGGATGGGAGCGGTTAATGTGAGAAACTCGTTCATCTACACTTGGTAAGTCAAAGTTAAGCTTTTTGTCATATACCTTTAGCAGCGGCCAATCAGCTTCCTTTAAAATCAATAAATGAAATTGAATTTAATTGATTCAGCTAAACACATAATGAGCGGTTGACTTGACTTTGCCGATATTTCCGATAAATCCTCTTATAAATTGGGAATGATTCAGTCATCACTTCCATTCTTTAGCAATAGCAGAATCAATTTCAATCACCATGTCTAGCATTCAAGCAATGGTTGTAATAGCAATATTACTATTATGGGATGTTATTTCTTTGTCCCATAACACTGCTGCCACCATAGCAGAAGAGAAACATGCTCTACTTGAAAGCAAATGGTGGAATACTATCCATGGCAGGTTCAACTTCATAATCTCAAACCATTGTGAATGGAATGGCATAACATGCAATGACTTTGGAAGCATTATCGAGATTCAGATGCCACGTGTTGCTGCACAACAGCCTCGACTTGGAGATCTTAACTTCACTGCACTTTCCAATCTGAAAATTTTGTCTCTCATTGGAATGAGGCTGACAGGTACCATTCCGACTCAAATAGGAGCTCTACGGAATCTCATTCATCTAAACTTGGCATACAACGACCTTGTTGGTGAGTTACCTTCCAGCCTTATCAACCTCACTCGGTTAGAATCGTTGGATTTGACAGGAAACAAGTTAAGTGGATCTATTCCCTCAAATTTGGGTTTTTTATTTAATCTCCAGAACTTATTTTTGAACTCAAACTTGCTCACTGGTGAGATCCCTCCTTCAATTTTAAATTTGACAAAATTGACAGTGATTGAGTTATCTCGAAATCAAATCATTGGTTTCATACCCCATCATATTGAAAAATTGACAAATTTAATGGGTTTGGATTTGAGTTACAATAACATATCTGGTCCTATTCCTCCGTCTTTAAACTTGACTCAGTTAGTAAATCTTGATGTTTCTAACAACTTTATTACTGGGATGCTTCCTTGTTCCTTGAGTCAATTAAAGAACCTTTCCACCCTGCGCTTGCATGTGAATGAGATCTATGGATCTATTCCTTTATGTGTGGGTCACATGACCAATATCAAAAGAATCCAGCTTTCTGATAATAAACTTTATGGCCAGTTACCTATCAAGCTTCAAAATCTCACTCTACTCAATTATCTAGATTTGAGTGTAAACAAGCTTGCCGGATCCATTCCTTCATCTTTGGGTTTTTTAACTTCCCTCTCCTATCTGAATCTGTCATCAAATATGTTCACTGGCAAAATCCCTTCTTCAATCTCAAATTTGGCATACTTAGAGGTGCTTGGTGTTTCCCAAAATCAAATAAGTGGTTTCATACCCAAACGTGCTATTCAAAACCTAGGAAATTTGAAAACTTTAGATCTTTCAAAGAACAAGATATTTGGTAACATACCAAAAGAGATTGGACATCTCTATAGCCTTCAAACTCTAGATCTCTCCCAAAATAAGCTGATTGGTAATATGCCATTCTTTCACAACCAGCTTTATTTTGTTGGTAACTTTAGTCACAACGACATTAATGGAGAGCAATCATCTAGCTTATGCCTTTACCCAGCAAGTTGTCGCCTTGATTTGAGTCACAACAAAATCACTGGCAGCATACATAAAGAACTTGTCAAGATGTAATACATCAACTTGTCATACAATCTTCTTTGCGGCTATGTTCCAAGTGAAGTTTATAGCTTCTTCCCTCATGACATATTCAAGGGTAATAAAGAATTACTTTGTCCAGATCAGGAGATTTGTTTTTCTTCATCAAAAAGTAAAAAGTCTTCTTTGACGTTCATTCTTCCTATGACAATTGCTTCTGCCACCATATCCATCTTGGGTTTCATCCTTTTAGTTTGGTCCATCAAAAAAAACAAGAAACCCGAAATCAAGAGAAACATGATAAAAAATGGAGATTTGTTCTCAATATTGAATTTTGATGGCAAAATTGCATATGAAGACATTATTGAAGCAACTGAGGACTTTGATATCAAACATTGTATTGCAACTTGTGCATGTGGAAGTGTTTATAAGGCATAACTTCCTAGTGGATGGATTGTGGCTGTGAAAAAACTTCATGAAAGAGTAATATCTGAAGACCCATCTTTTACTAAGAGTTTCAAAAATGAAGTACAAATGCTGACTGAAATTCGACATCGCAACATTGTAAAACTCCATGGTTTTTGTTTGCACAATTGTCACATGTTCCTCATCTATGAATACATGGAAAGGGGAACCCTCTTTTCTGTATTGAGTAACAATGATGAAGCTAAAGAATTGGACTGGAGTAAGAGGGTGAATGCCATTAAAGGAATGGCCAATGCATTATTCTATATGCATCATGATTGTAGTCCTCCAATTATCATTATTCTATATGCATCATGATTGTAGTCCTCCAATTATCCACCGTGACATAACAAGTAACAATGTATTATTCAACTCTAATATGGAGGCTTTTATCTCAGATTTTGGCACAGCTAGAATTCTTGATCCTGAGTCATCCAATCAAACTCTTTTAGTTGGTACCTATGGTTATATTGCTCTAGGTTAGTATTTCTTTTCTTTTCTTTTTTTCTTTTTGCTTTTACACATACTATTCCTTTCAAAGTGTTTTACTTTATTTATATAACTACCAAGGCATAATTACATTATTTCATAACTTTTATGATCGTTGCAGAGCAAGCATATACCTTGGTCGTGACTGAAAAATGTGATGTCTATAGTTTTGGAGTAGTGGTATTGGAAATCATCATTGGAAAGCATCCTGGGGATTTGATATTGTATTTGTCAGAGGACAATACTGAAAGCATTTTCTTAAAAGATATCTTGGACCCACGTCTTCCACTTCCCTTGCGAAAAGATGCAAAAGATGTGATTCTTTCAATCACAGTAGCATTAGCGTGCCTACATCCCTCTCCAAAATCTCGACCATCAATGAAGCAAGTCACTCAAACTCTCTCGTTCTCCAAGTTGCAACTAGCCACTCCTTTCAATGGCATTTCATTCAAACATTTAATGAATCAAGACATATAAATTTTTTAGTAGGAAGCGGGGAGAGACTTGTTAGTAGTGATGTGCTACAGGCTAATCCTTTGCAGATAGATGTTGTGTTTTCTTTTTAGAGTTGTATTGTCATCATTATTATGGGTGCATGTTTACTTTATACTACCATAAATAACTTGAATCTTGTCTCAAAGTTAGTTTCTTTATGGACCGTAATCACATCAAAGTTAACATACAAATTCTAGATTACACTAGAACAGAAACAAATTCTACAATAGGTTAATGGTTTTATTTTTAATCTGAATACTCCAGTAAGATCTAAATGCTTAAGAAATGCTCGTTTGAATGATCATTAAAAATGCTTGATAAAAACAGAGATCATCATTCAATCATCCATAAGAAATCTATACTTAGTCCTCACATGTGCATAAAGATGCAACCAAGTTCTAAATTTCCAATTAATAATATATGATGGAATTTCAAGATAATCACATTTAAACATTTATACACAGAAATCCACACTATACTACCGACTTTGTTCAGTGAAGGCATGACAGTAATATGAGCATGAGCTCATGAATTAACCCATCAATGCCCATACCCAGACTGAAAATGACCCAAAACAAAACCGTAGCATATCATACACTGGCCATTTATGCTTGAATCTAGCTTCTCTTCACTACTCTTTCCCTCTGCTTTAATGGCTCAGCTTCAACGTGCTGTTCTCTTACGCTTAAGTTGCTTGATCTGCCCCAAAATGTAACTAATGACCTCTTTTGATGCAACCTTCCTATTTTCCTTGAAGTTGCATAGTTCAGAAACAATATACCTACCACTTGGATTATGTTCATTTAATTCTTTCAAGGTTGTAATAACCTCCACATATACATCATCTCCCCATTCCTCCTTGAGATTTCGCAGCTTCTCATCTTCTTCCTTAACTGTTAGCTTTGGCAACAGAAGTATAATACCTATATACTCTTTCTGATTGTATTTATAAGTTACTTTCAGCAAGTTTCACCACAACAAAAGCTTTAAATCTTATTAATTTTGTCTTAAATTTAATAAATTTTCACCTTTACTCCTAACAAGAACAAACAAATTATTTTCAATAATTTTTTCTAGTATTTAATAAGGAAATAAAAATAAAGATGAATATATAAAATGGTGAAATGTCTTATAAATAGAATCAAAACTAATATTCTTCCTCTTCCTTGTAAATAGGACCAAAGGAGTATACATATACTCCCTCCAATCCTACATATACTCTCTCACACATAACATTTTACTCTACTCGTAGGAACTTGTCAAAGGATAAAATTGGAAGAAAGTAATTAATGATTTCATGCCAAGTGATTTATAAAGATGACCATCAATTCCTTAAAGAAAGTGACTTATCAGGGAAAGTATATGTTAACATCTCAACTGTATAACAGAGAAATAGATCAGTAGGCCACACTTTTTATTCATCTAGAAACATGTTTGGTGGTTTCACGTTGGAAATCACCAAAAACCATGGTTTTGATATTTTTCAACATGAAATCAAACACGCACTAAAGATAGACAAAACAACCCAGGGTAGTAAAGCATGATTAAAGTAGGCAAATGGCAAGCTAGTATTATGGTTTTCTTGAGCATACCTCTGCTTCATCACTTTAAAAGGATGCCACGTTGAATCCTCCAAGTTATGTTGCCACGAGGAGCATAGCTTAACACCCTCTATCTGAGCATCTTCAGCAGAGAACTTTTTCTAGCAAGCTTCCACAAAAACCTTCTCGATTCTCATCAGGCTGTTCTATTCTCTTAATCCCAATATTAGTTCGGGCATTAATTAGAATATTCTTTGACTCCTGAAACATAATTGTAAAGGAGAAACATTAGGGTTCATAACCTTGTCCAGACACAATGATCCTTTTCAAGAAAACATGGTTCACAGTTGAGCATGACTTTCACAAGCAAACGTAGTTAGTTGTTGTCATGTCTGAACCAAAATAAATTTGGTTGGAGGAAATCAAGTAATGTAACAAAATAACAACAGAAATACCTAAATCATGTCATGCCTCCTCTTTCTCTCTCTGAAAACATAGAGATGCATATTTGTAGAACTGAGTTATAATCAGCAAATGCTAGACTGCTACAATGAAATTTCACACTCTAGACAATATAAACTAAGTAAACCTTTTGCTCTTCAATAATTCTTATGACATTCGCATCAGCTTTGTTCCACTCCACAGAAGCCTTATTGAGGGATTCATACCTCAGATCATTCTTGAAGGAGAAAGAGATTGTATTAGCATTTCATAGAAGTACATCACAAATGCCAATAGTTTCAGATTAAATAAAACCACCCTTGCAACAGTAAACGAAATTGAGATATTAAACATCTAATATGGGATTTCTTATGGATTTGAAAGGCAATATCAGAGAAAGAGTTTCTCTGAAAATTCAGAGCAAAGATGTTTCATGATAGATATACAAGTTATTATTTATAATCACTATAAAACTATACTAATTGTTGTATATCTATCTGTTCTAACAGTGAACAATCTATTGGTCCAGTTTACAAACGGGAAAACGCTGATTGGTAACGACTGAGTATTCTAGTAACAGACAAAGAAAAAGCTGTCATACAATTTTACTTGGGTGGTCATCGATAAGAAGGGTAAGAAATTATGTTTTCAAAATAATTACTGAGACAAAAAATGTGGCATATCACCACCATCCTTTTGTCTTCTTCAAGCTTCTGTCTCTCTCGCAAAGAGCTGACGACTCTCTTTTGTTTAAATCTCTGCTCCACAGATCAAGCTTCCGTTTTCTTGCCTCTAATTCTCTGCTTAAGGTTTCTTTGCTCATCCATCATCCTTTGTCTCCCTCTTTCTGACAAAATATGAAGCAGTCATTCATCAGAATCTTGCATGTAACTTTTGACATTTAATTTGATTCACATAGGAACATAAAAATGCATATCAAAATAGTAAAATAGTCTATTGGGACCATTTATAGTACTTACAAGAAGACAAAATCTTTGCAACCGGAAAGTAGACAAATCTTCAACAAGAGCATGTTGTAGCTGCTCTTTCTCCTCAAGAATCCTACTCAGTGACAAAGTCTTCTCATTGAACTTGCATTGTCTTTCAGTGAGGTTCTCATTTGTCACATCAATTATATTCGCTGGGTTTGCCACATCAGCAAGTCTGTTTTTAGATGCTTCATGGACAATATCTGAGACCTCTTTTAAGGTTCCTTTCTTGCGCATGTATTTCACTATTGGCCCCTTACAACGAAAACCATCCTCCGTCGCAATTAATCCATCTACAGATGCTTGAGCCTGGCTTCATGTTTTGATATTATGTGTTGTTTCAAATGGTTTCTCAAAATCGCTTGCAATATGCCAAATGTTTATGCATTATCAAATATGTGTTATCTAAGAAATTGCTCATCTGACGTGACAAAGCTGTATTATAATATCAAGGAAAAACATAACTTGTCCCTATATTTTACTTGCATTCTGCTATTAGTCCCTTTATTTATTTATTTATTTGTATTTTTGATCCCTGGACTTTCAGTTTTTATTGTTTTAAATCCCTCCAAAATTCCTATCACAATAAAAAAATAAAAGTAATCAAAAATATCAAAAAAAAAAAAAACAAGGATCACTAGCAAAATGTAAGCAAAATACTGAAACTTAAAGTTATATTTTTCCTAATATCAAAAAAACAATTGGCCATGATGAATTATTGCACCCATAAGGCTTATATAGGATTTTAAAACGCATTCCTGTTGCCTACTAACACATTTCATTGACAAACAATAACTTCGATATTTCCAGGAGCATAACAGGAACATCAATATATATATATATTAGTAAGAGTTACCGCTTTTTTCTTTTTCTTTTTCTTTTAAATTTTTCTTTGGTTGAAAGTATAAAAAACGAATTCGATAGAGTGATTAATTATGAATAATTCAAGGCAGACACCCACCACCACCTGATTTACTAGCAACAATGTCCCTGCCAGCTAGCTAGCATCCCTTTTCTTCAGAAAACCAAAAAAAAAAAAAAAAAAAAAGGCAGAACGTCGTCGTAGTGGTCCAGCTGATGTGAAGAAGTTGAAGTGAGAAGTCTACAGTCTACTGTGACGGGAAGAATGACATGGCGAACATGTGTATAAATGTGACGGGTGATTTTCCAATATTAGAAGTGTTTGTCTCCGATGAGGGTGTCTCATTTTTCTTTGCTCTGCATTCTTCTCATTTTTCCATCATCAACGTTAAATGAAAATTAATTTAGTTTTTGATAAAATTATATTATTATTTTTCATAAAATATATAAATGAAATATTATAGTTTTAAATTATTTTAATAAAACTTTAATAGCTCAAATCTATTTACATATTTTTTTATAAAATTAAAATAATAATTTTATCACACATTAAATTAGAACTATTGAAGTTTTAATCCAACGGTGATAAAGTAAGGGAAAAAGAAACAACCCTCTCTCACATGTATCTATACATGCCTAGGCGTGTCATTTGGTAGTGTATATTAAAAATTGTGCACGACAATTTTTTTTTTTAATTATTCACATGTGTTCTTTTATTGAAAATGTTCGTATTGGTAATGTTATTAAATCATATTGTTTTGTAAGGATAAGAGGACCTATTTAGATAACTCTTAAAAACACATTTAAACCATATTTGAAAAACATTTTTGTCAAATTTAATAAATAGTTGGATCTTTTAAATGAATTAAAAACTAAATACACATAGAATTGCCAGCATACATATGCCAGCGCTCACCTTATGTTCACTTCCTAGGTAAGTGACAATTTAAATAACTTCTGGATTATGTTATTGACTAAAATTAAATAATAAATAACAACTTTCTACAACTTTTTTAATCAATCGAGTGCAAGAGCATTTAAATTAGTGACTTTTTTAAATGAGAAAATAACTACTTTAATTAGGTTATTAACTAAAATTGAGTAACCTAATCAACTGCAAGAGTCTATGGATTAGTGATTACTCCAAATAGAAAAATGACTATAATTCAAATGGGGAAATGATTAAAAGTTGGTAGCAAATGACAACTAATTTTTTTCCTATAATTTTCTAGAGGATCACTAATGTAATTTTCCATAAAAAAATTATGTCAGATAAATCCCTAAAAACTTTAAAAAAATTACCATATTTCATGATCCTCTTTTATCATTTAACTATTTGTG